ACGAAAAATGACCAATCCTACCCGACGCTAACGCGACGAATGACAAACGAATCGACTGACTAACATTCTTAGCTCGGGGCTGCTAGTCTCCCACTCCTCATTTCTGCTGCGCAGGATTATACCATGCGCAACCGATACCATGCAAGAACCAATAGCACAGCAGTTTAAGAGTAAAGAACAATTCTAAAAATCATTTTGGTTTATTTTCACTTGAATTTTTCAAGCAAAAGGAAATTATAATTAAAGAATAAAAATACTTAATTGTTTGAGAATAATACTTGAATTATAATATATCTTTTGAATTTAATTAAATATATGTATATATTACCAACTTACTGTATGTATATATATACAGTATATGTATATGTATATATTACCAACTTAGAAAATTACTAAAGATACTCGAAGATACTATATGCAAATGAAATTCTACTTTTGTTTGAAAAGATAGATATTTGAATAGATGCATGAATACTTCTTATGTAATTGAATCTTAAAGACTTAAGAATTTGAATAATGTAGATTTACTGAAGAAAATGAATATGTACGAATTTTCCATGAAATGAATGTGTTCCCAAACGCCCTCTAATTTATTGTAAGAGTACTTAATACATAAAAATACATGGTTTAAAACGAAGTAGCCAGAAAATATATCTTTCTATAAATATTATATTTCATTGTTTTATATTTACCGCAGAAATTTGTTTTATCTATTAAATATTGTAACGAATATTTTGCTTTGGATATTATATATATTTTTGCATTTTATATCTTTACTCTGTTGATTTTTGCACCTTTAAATTCACAAATCTGCAGCCTAGTAATTCAATTTAGTATATTGGCAACATGAAACCTTTCATTTGTGATGTCCTTTATTTAATGCCAACGCTACGTTAATGTTCCACGTTGTAGGATTGACGATTGCGTTACTGTGCTTCCACGTCGCAGGCAGAGATGGTAGCAGGTTGTGTTATTTCGAAGCACCGTAGTCGAGTGTTGATTTGAAGTGAGTGTTCGAGAAGTGGAATAAATCGGTTTTCATAACAGGAAAGTTAGTTTTGAAACAGCGCAACGAAATGGAGAAATTTAGCATTTTTTTATTACTCTTTATTTCTGCAATTACTTTCACAACGAATAAAGGTAATGGATAATAAAAATCGTCAACTAATATTTGTTTCATACGTTATGATTTATATTTATATTACACATATGTAATATATATTGATAAAAAAAAATTACTTTCCTTTCTTTTCCAGTTTTTCTATAATTTATATTGAAAATATAATTAATGCAACCGTCAAAAATGTCATTTAGTAAATTTGAACTAACATCTTAGATAATAAATTGAAATCATATTGACTGAATTAATTTTTTTATTTTACATATGTTTGTAACTATTTATGTATAAGTAATCCTGTTTGTATTTTAAATTTTTATTACAGTTTATGCTCAAGAAGATGAAAATATAGATGATATCGTGGATATTGAAGGAGAAGATAATTCTGTGATAACAGATGAAGAACCAGAAGATGAAACAACCACTGCTTCATCTGATGCTGATACAACTATATTATTTACTAAACCAGTTTATAATGGATTATCAACATTGGGTATATATAATAAGCCTTTTGAAATCTTATTAATATTTTTAATATTAATATTAATCAGTAATTTATTTACTTTTCTAGAATTACCAGCTGGAAATTTAGTTGAATTTCTTGTTGGTTTCACCAATAAAGGAGAATCTGATTTTATTCTTGAATCTTTGGATGCCTCTTTCCGTTATGCAATGGACTTTAACTTTTATATCCAAAATTTTTCAACTGTTGTATATAACAAAATTGTAAAACCAAAACACGAAGCAACATTAGCATATTCATTTATTCCATCAGAAAATCTTGCTGGAAGACCTTTTGGTTTTAATATTAATCTAAATTATAAAGATTCTGTATGTAACACATTTAATGTTCCATTCTAAAAGTATTGATGCAAAAATTGACAAATGTCCATAATTTTGCAGAATGGTATTGGCTTTAGTGAAGCTGTTTATAATGAAACAGTGCAAATAATAGAATTAGATGATGGTCTTGATGGAGAAACAATTTTCTTATATGTATTTCTGGCAGCATGTGTGATATTGACACTTGTAGGAGGACAGCAACTTCTTTCATCTCTTGGTCGTAAATCTCGATCTTCTAATACTCGTAGAACTCCTGTCGAAGTGGGTACATCGAACCCTAATAATGTAGATTATGATTGGTTACCAAAAGAAACATTAAATAGAATTAGTAAGTATCTCATATTTTATTTACTTTAAATAAAATGTAAAAAATAGCATTTTACATAAAAATCTTCCTTACAGATAAATCTCCTAAAACGCCCAGACAGAGTCCTAGGCAACGAAAAGTTAAGAGAACCGCTGATGATTAGTTGTGTTAATATATGTGTGTTTGTCTGCTGTCGTGTGTAAATAGGAAGTATGGTTTTATATTCTGTAACAATTCTTTAGTAACAAATTTTCACATTTTTCAATCCATACTGTATTAAAGTCTCTCTCTCTCTCTCTCTCTCTACATCATTATTGTACATCTAAAATATCAGAAACAACATTATATCTTATAATGGAACATTTCTAAATAAATTTTATAATTTATTCTTGATGTTATATAATGCTGTGGAAAAGAAAGGGACAACAAAAATTAAAATATGAAACTTTCATATAAATAGTATTACAAAATTTTCATATAGTACTACTATGAAATAACCATATGAATACATGTACATTTTATAATCACTGTCAATTTTGTTATTGATCACCATTTTTGAAGTGCTGTTATATCAATAAAAACAATTTTATATAATTTATTTTTGTATTTGTAATATAGAACTTTATAATAACAATGTAACTACTGGAGAAGCTTTAATATGTATTTATAAGTTATGTATTATTTATAAATTCACAATTATATTAGAAATTTAATATAAGTAAATTCTAAGAACGTTTATTTTTTGTTTTAGAATTTTGTAAGAAATTATACTATAACATGAAAATATGAACAGTTCTACAAAATCTTCTTCATACTATTTTTTTCTTTTTGTAATTGAAATGGAATTAAAATTTTGTATCTTCTTTTACATTTTTTGTTCTTAAATATTGAAAGAATAAGTATAGTCTTCTTACTTACTAATTCTTAATAAGTATAGAAATTTAGAATTCTTACTAGCACCATATCTGTTATTATATGTCCTAACCTAGTCTACGTTGTGTCGTTGTTTAGTCACTAAATAATCACACGTCATACATTGTCATACTGAGTTGTACGTACGTGTCGAATTTGGTGTTATACATATTAATTATTATATTAACGTAAAAATTACAAAAATGTCAGACGTAAGGAATTGGATTAATTCTTTACCAATTTTTACAAGATATTGGCTATTATGTACAATAGTTTGCACGTTAGTTGGAAGATTCGGGTTAATAAATCCGACTTCACTAATACTTATAAACGATCGGTTTATAAACAATTTTGAAATTTGGAGAGCAGCCACCAGTGTGTTTTTCTACCCTTTAAATCGGGGTTCGGGATTTCATTTTTTGATTAACTGTTATTTCTTATATAATTATTCGTTGAGGTTAGAACGTGGAGAATACGATGGACGACCAGCAGATTATTGTTTCTTACTCTTATTCAACTGGATATGCTGCGTTATCATAGGAGTTATTGGTGAATTACATATTCTTATGGATCCTATGGTACTCAGCATATTATACGTTTGGTGTCAATTGAATAAAGATGCTATTGTTAATTTCTGGTTTGGTATGTATTTTTCTTTTTATAAGCATAAGGCTATAAATTTGCCAGTCATTCTATCGTATCTTATATTAATTGTATGTTTCTATAAATCAACAGGTACACAATTTAAAGCAGTATACTTGCCATGGGTATTGTTTGCATTTAATCTCATTATCTCTGGAGGTGGCATGATGGAACTTTTTGGTATTCTAGTGGGGCATCTTTATGTGTTTTTAAAATTCAAATATCCTCAAGAACTCGGTGGACCTGAATTATTAAACACTCCAAAAATTCTTGAATCTTATTTTCCATCTCAAAGAGGTAATATCAGATGGTTTGGAGCTGCTCCTATACAAAGAACACAAACACAACAAGCTAGAAATACATTTGGTGGTCATAATTGGGGACGAGGATATGTTTTAGGAGACTGAATTGTTAAACCTATTATAGAGAAATGTCATTTGATATTAAAATCTTTTCCATTGTTCTCCATTGTTTTAATTTAACTAGTTTCATGAAGACATATGTAAAGAATGTACAAGTAATTTTGGTTTCTAATGTTTTAAAAAATTTCTCAACAATAAATGCACTTAATATGGAAACTCGAAGTACAGAATATATTTCAATAGTGATGAAATAATAGTGTTTTATTCGTTTTAAAATCTGTTGATATTTGCAATTTTATACCTGAATTTCATAAATTATAAATATTTTTTTTATACGTAATATAACAAAGTAATTATATTAATACTTGAAAAATTTTTAATTGATCATGACTTCCTTAGAAATATATAGCTACCTTAACTAGTAAATACATTGAATACATAAAGTGATTTAATGATTTTAAATCTCCTCGTAGTTTAGTACACTTTAAATTTTGGCAATAAAAATTGTAAAAAATTAATTTATAAAAGGAAACAGTCAAATCTAAAGTAAAGATAGATTTTATATGAACGAAAATAAATAGTAACATTATGTTTGAAAATCATTTTTAGTATAGTATTTGCACACAAATTATTCTAACTACATAACATATTTGTTACATATTATAATTAGTATATCTAACATTAAATAAATGTAATAAGAGTATGTTATATGGATGTATGATATATATTCATTGTGTACAAGGTATATGATATATTAAAACATTTTTAATTTATTTATATCCTTAAAAGAAGGGAACATACATAAAAATACAACACATTCATATTAAAAATGTTTTATTTTTTACTCCTTATGATAAATCTGAAACAATGGGAACGTAAAATTTTGTAATTAAAATACTACATATGTATGGTATCTTAAATGATGATTTTTTATTGAGGTTTTCTCCTCAGTAGCAATATCTCTGACAGTCTGTAACAACATTCTAAATTGTTACAGCTATCATGTGGATGGGATGCTAACCCCTACCAAGAGCTCAAAGCAAATACTTTACATAACAATATAAATATCATTTATTTATTTAGTTATCCATCATTTTAGTTGTATAATAAACTCTAATATTTGATAAAATGGAACATTGTGCTGAAAATATTGGCAAGGAGCTCTAAACTTACCATATTATTCATCTGGGACTTGGAGCCTTCCACCATTAATTTCTTCGATAAGATCTCGTGGTGGTTTACCTTCAACAGTACATCCAACTGATTGACATGTACCTAATATCTCCTTCACAGTACCACTAAGGTACTTTGCCATAGACCTCGGTCTCATTGATCGAGCAATGGAAACAATATCATCAAATGATAAATTTCCATTGTGTTTTATATTCTTCTGCCTTTTTCGGTCCCTAGGTGGCTCCTTCAAAGCCTTAATTATTAAGGATGCAGCAGATGGAACCACCGTAATTGTAGCTTGTCTGTTCTGAATTGTTAACTGGACGGTAATTTTCAAACCCTTCCAGTCACTGGTAGCCTTGGCGATATCATCACCAACTTTCTTGGGAGACTATAAATATAAACCAATATTTAAGCACTATATAAATGTTTTTTATTTATTAATAGAACGTAAAATAGAATCAAACAATGAAAGAGGAAAATTAATATTTACAAATATAAAATAGAATAATTTATCAAAAAGTTAGAAGAAATATTGTTTATAAATAATTTAAATTTATAAAATAGAATCTTACTAAACCGAGTGGACCAATTTTTGGAGCCAGAGATGAAGTTGCTCGGACCAATTTTTGGAGCCAGAGATGAAGTACCAATTTTTGGAGCCAGAGATGAAGTTGCTCCTACTTCACCTCCAACGCATCTTAGATAGACTATTGAAACAAATATGCATATGTGAGGAAATTTTACACTCTTGTAATACATATTAAAATGAAATATTAAAAATATACCTATCTTGATTTCATTTGGATCAAATTTAGGTGGCATCGTGATGATAACGTTAATATGCAAAATGAGACACAATCGAATAAAAGAAATAGGAACGACACCAACACGTGGTAAATCTCGTTCGAAAAGAGTGAAAGCGGTTGTGAAATCGAGGTATGTATAACTGCTGTAACATGAACTATATAACTCAACGTAGATTTACATTCAAGTCGTCTAATTGTGACATAATAACACACCATAGTAATAATAATAGAACAATGCGGATGCGCCTTTACAATTTATTAAAATATTCCTAAAACATTTCAATACGCTACAAACATCGATTACAGTCTACTGATTTGGGTACTACAAAGCGTAATAGAAATTGGATACCACCTCCTGCAGTTTTATGAAATGGTTGTTCGTATTCACTACACTTCATGAATTTTCAAACTCGATTTTTCACAAACGAAGTTCTCAACGCGATTTTGTTATTTTTGATCTTCGTCTTATTTTGAGCCATAGAATCTGTCTAACCACATTTGTATCATAAATGACGGACCACCCTTTATGTAACAATACTATTCATATCTGCCGCTATGTTTGGTTGTTGTCCATGTCTATTCTTTAATCATTCATATTCATTCGTATTGTTCGTTAGGATACAGTTATATACGTTTTTGTTTATTTATTACAGTGACATGTTAAACACAAACATTTTAAATATAATTCTTAATTAATTCTTACAATATTTACGATTTTATTTTTATTTTACGAGATAAAAATTACATTTATCGTTACACTTTTGTCATACCATTATAAATTATTATGAAAATACAAAAATGTTTTCTTTCTTTTTTATAATGTAATATAATTTATTTACAACATATAAAAATTCTTCTTCTGCTACACCTGATATTAATTAAAAAGTATTATTTCTTGTAACGAAATACTAATAAAAGTGTGTTTTTTATAAATTTAATTTTTATGTTAATGTTATATGAAATATTTGGTGACTTTCATCAGGTTACTATTAACATTCATTATTTTACGTTTTTTATTTTTTTATATGTCCTGTATAAAGCAAGATATTAGAGGAAACTTCCCAAAAATATTTATTTCTAAGGTTTTTCAATAGTACAAAAATATTTAATATAATTTATGAAAGATATTTCCTATTACTATTTCCCATTATTTATTTTTAAGAAATAAACTTATATTTAAATATACATATGGTAAAAGAACCAAATTGTTATTAATATAATCATAAAAGCTTCATACATAAAAATAGTAAATTCGAAATAATATTTAAATTCTTAGATATAACATATCTCATTAATATATAAAATTTAAATTAATTTTGCTTGTAATATTCAAATTGTTTCTACCTCGCCAACAACAGCAATAGCTTCAATTTCAAATTTTGCACCCTACAACAACATTTTATGTTTAACGTTAGCAGTTAGATTTTGAATTATATATATATATTCATATGTGCATTACTTCTTACCATTGGTAACTTTCCAACTTGAAATGTAGATCTAGCTGGATAGTTCTCCTTAAAAACTAAAGGGAAAAAAATGGTGCATGGATATGTACACAAATATAACATACACTTATATAACGAAAACTATAAATTAAATCTTACATTCTTTGTAGACTTCATTTACATCACTAAACTCATTAATATCTTGTAAGAAAATTGTTGTTTTAACGACTGTAAATAAATATAGAGTAAATATTATTAATGTTTAATAAAATTAATTATTAAAATTATTAATCACTGCTGATAATGTTTATCATCATATTTCTCGATCATTTCAGAATTGAAAAATGTAAATTAACAAATTAGAAAATTAAAAAAATTTTAAATAAATGAAACCTTTGTCATAATTAGATCCAGCTTCCTTTAAGATGTGACCCATATTTATAAGAGCTTGACGAGCTTCTACAGCAGCACCTCCAGCAACAAGTTTTCCAGTTTTAACATCAACACCAAGAGATCCAGACAAATATAAAGTATGATCTACAAGTACTGCTTGGCTATCAAACAAAATTAGTTACATTGTAATTAGATAATTTCATGTATTGTAATTATATATATACTCTATTGCATTAGGAAGATTCTATTTTTGATCTAAATAAATGAGAAATATTATGTATATAATGTAAGACTTGACAAATTCTAAATAATTGGAAAAATATGTTATTATAGCTTACTTATATGGTCCAATAGGTTTTGGACCTAATGAAGATGATATTATTTTTCTTATAATCTTCTGAGATGCCATCTTTATGTTCTCTTTCCCAGTTTAAAACACATTCATTACTTGATCTCAACTTAACTGTTGTGTCGTATATATATATATATATATATGACTTCTTACTTACGAATATTTGATTTTTGATAAACTTTTAACCTCTTATTACGGGAGATACCATATCTTGCGTTCAATAATTCAATTCTTCCTTAAGATATAATTTTCAGAAGAAAATTATTACAATATATTTTTGAATATAACTACTGTAATTAATTTTTATAAATACATACAAAACAGAAAAAATAATACACATATTTCTAAATATATTTTCATATTTGTTTTGTACATAAAATCATAGCCTGTACACTTAAAAGAAAGTTACACCTTTATATAAAATTACAATGAATTATACAGAAATTTCAAATTTAATTTTTGTAACTTGGTAAAGAGCATATTTTGCTAAATTTATTATGATCTACTTCATAATTTTATGCAGTAATCTTAATCTATAGGATAAATAACATAGAATTGGGATTATTAAGAAAATTTCACAATTAAAAATAGAAAGTACTGAAAATAAATTTATATAACTTTATAATGTACCTCTTATCCTAGATATAACTTTATTATGAGTTTAGATTTTTAATAAGAAAGTAATAAATAAATAATTTAATGAGCTTAAATATGATCCTGTAAATTGTATGTCAAATAATTTATCAGTTAAATACAGAGCTGTTCAGGTTTTCATAGTCAAACTTTAAGATATAAAATACAAAAAGAACATTTTACAAGACAAAAATAAGTGCTTATATTTCATTTTAAAATATTTATCATTTCTGTCAATAGGTAACTGATAGTCATTCGTTGTTCTACACAGTTCATTTTGGTTTTGATTCATTTCAATAAATCAATCGACCGCTCATATGAATTCACTATTTGTATTAACATCTGAAATTATATGCTGCATTTTTATTATAACTTTTAATAAATCTTCAAACGAACTATATTTATGTAAATTTTTTACTTATACCCATTCAACATATTGACAAAGTTTAGTTGAAAAAACCTAGAACACTCCACATATTCCGAAATATTTAAAAAAAAATATTTTTTAGAAAATGATGGTAAAGTATTTATTTTATGATTGTAGGCTTTTTTAAATACAAAAACTAATTTCACTTTTTTAGTAACTTCTCATGTTCTTACAAAGTTATTTATGAAACATTTTTATAAAGAAAACTAGAATTTTATTAAATAGAAAATGGTTTTATAAGATCCCTGTTTATCATAAATAAAAAAGTGATAAAACAAAATTAAAAAAATATAAACAAAAATAAATTTTTCTTGGCATTATTATTAATTCGATACACACGTTTATCCTTATTTCTAAATATTTTGATAGATATAAAGTATTACATATAAAGTAATCAAATGAAAAGCGAAAATCTTGTAAATTAATCTTTACTTGATAAATCGACGAAAATGAGGTTTTTACAGCACAGTCATTTTATTATAATATATTTATATTTATATATACGTCTTAACAGCGTATGTTTTCTATATGAATGCATGTATGCCTGTATAGAGCGTTTACACACTTTTTGCACTCCTTTCTAAGGACAACAAATATTAATGATAATGTCTATGAATCAAGAATGATTTGTAATGGGCTTACGCAATTTCAATGAGCTGTATTATTACGTCGCCCGCGTCTCTTTCGAGTTCCAGAAGGACGATTTGAAGAGGTCCATTGTTCATAAAAACGTTCTGCTTCTAACCATTCTTGATATTTGTACCACCATTCTTCCCACTTTATGTAATCATCTAAAGTAAGATCTCGTAGATATCCTCTTGCTTTATAATAATCATATCTAACACGAACATCATCCCAACATTCTAAACCTCTTGGACCTTGTGCTAAAAGTGATTCAGGATAATGTCCTGGTGGTGGAGAATCGTATCCTAGTCTTGCAATTCTCTCTTCACCCTCTATTACAACTTTCATCGCATTTTCTCCATCCTTTGTGATGCGCATATTTTCCATGTCCCTACGATCGACACTCCATTGTGCCATTTTACCAAATCTAAGAAAAAAGAACAGTTTTGTGTTATTATAAGACCTTTATCTTTTTCAAATATATGTATTGTGTTGTTAAACTGATGTTTTAAATTTTACAACATATTAATAATTAAATCATACCGCTCTGATAATGTCATTTTAGGTGGACCCACATGTGATGTTGTGGAAGAACTATCACTGTCTTCACTAGGTGAGGACTCAGGAGGTGGCCTAATCATTTGAGTTGTTCCATGACTTGAATGAGTTTTTTCTACCTTTACAGGTTTACGCATCTGTACAAGTTTCATAGTTATATATTGAAATATAAGAGAGATGTATAAATAAACGAAAAAGATTAAAAATGTAGACAGAAGTATATTAATTTAAAATCAGAACTCATAATTAGTTATGAACAAAGTATGTTTTACCAATGGAATGGGATCTGGAACTCTTGGATCTTCTGGGATTCTAGTGTGATGTTTTTCTTTACGCCGGACCTTGGATTCTTTTTCTTTAATTGCCTTATAGTCCTTTTGATGACGTGGTGGAGGCTGTGGTGTGGGCGGGGGTGTACGTGGACGTGGCAAAGGAGGTGATCTTGGTCTAGTACGAGCTGGTATTACTCGTGAACTTGATGGTACTATTTCTTTTGGATGTGCTCGAGCTCGAACTGGTGTGAGTGATCTTGAACGTGAAGGAGAGGGTTGAGCGATACGTCGCCTTTCCTTTGGTGAACAGACACTGCATGATCGATCAGAACAAGTACTTCCTGTGCTTGGACTGCGTGTAGGTCGTCCTCTGGTATGTGATCTATCGCGAGGTGACCGTGGGCTTCTAGTTCGAGGACTACGTGGTCTTGGTATATGGGGACTTCGAGGTCTGGGACTTCTTGGACTTCGAGGATGTCCTCTACTAGGTTCTCCACTTGCTGTGCCACCGACATATAATTCCTTATATCCACTGTGTCTCCATCTATTTGGATCGCGTTCCTCTACTTCCAAAAGCTTTTTATTCCAATAACTTGACTGAGATTCACGAGCTTTCCGCATTACACTATCTAATTCTCTCCGTTTTCCTGAATTTTCACCGTGCGGTCTGGGTTGTGATACATTGGTATCCATCCGTAACTTACTAGAACTGCTACCACTACCGCTACCTCCTCTTCGTCTATCATAGTCTCGTGACATTCCTAAAACAAAATGTATTACATTTGACACTTGTAATTACTCCAGATGTAAACAACTATCATTTTTACAATTACTTTAAGTACAGTTATTTATATAAGGTGATTCATAAATTCATATCGATATTTCAAGGGTAATTCCTATGTACTTTAGTTTGAAAGCTATAAATGATTACAGAAAATGTTTAAAGTGTCTGTCTCATGCCTCAACACATGTTATTGCATGCCTTAATGTTGTCTGTATATGCAGCTAAAGTATATTTTGTTTTTTGTAAAGTTTACAAATAATTTTTATTTTCCTGTTTCTAGAAAACATTAATGAATTAGGGAAAATAAAATATTGACTGTCTGAAATTCTATCTGATTCATACTGATTAATATTGTTTGTAAGCTTTGGATAATCGCAAGGCATGTCTTAGCTATGTATGCAATAATGCTAAAGCATATACTAATGTGTATTAAGCCATGAGGCTAACCCATTGAACATTTTTTTAATCAACCATAATCTGAAAACTAAGGATATAGGACATATGTTCATATGACGTTTATTTACTGTAATGTGTAGATCCATCTCCTGAAGTACTGGCATGCATTTATGAACCCTCTGCATATTTCATGAATTTTCTATTCTTAAATAGACACATACCTGATAGAAATGTTAGAATAGAAGATATAGGAGGAGCAAAAAGTTGGTGATCCAAACGCCTGCGAGAGCAGTCAACACGTTAATTTTCAATACATGATAGAATGCCCATAAAGATGATAATACGTTGGACTAGTTCGCCATGAGATCTCTAGAAGAACCAGTATCATTCGTCCTTTGGGTCGACTGGCCTATGTAAAAAATTCTATATGTCACAAATGGGTATCATCTGGAGTGGTGAAGCAGTGGAAAAGTTAGTATATATTCCCGATCAAAAGCGTATGTTTTCTCTGAGAATAAAAATTTCGCGAAAAATCCATATGTGGTACTGGACATCACCCGTCGCGAGACCTTACCATCGCCACTCTCTGCATGTCCAGAATTGTAGTACGCTTCGATCCACGATCCATAAATGTTGGTCGCGTGGACTTTTCAATGAGTCGAACCAAATTCAGAGATCGCCCTCGAAAGGCGTCGCGCGCGCGTGTCAAGTCGATCGTGTCCAGGTATTTTCGTGTTTTATTAACCGGACCGAACCGCGAATAGGGTATGAAGTTTATCTCGGGCATTACCCGGGTAATGCCATACCGGACGGCACTCACGTAGCCGATTACGATACACGATAAGATTACTCGCGTCAATCATTACACCGATGGTACACACAGGTGAGAAAATACAATGAACGCCGCGGGTAGGGCTTTTTCGCCCGTTTCTTGACATCGTGAAGGATGTCATCCGCGGAACGTGTCACCTTCTCGGTACGCATCGGAGGATATCTTGTCGCGTCCGATTCGTAGCCACACCGAAACGCGGTAGCACGGAATTTGTGGCTCGAGTAACGGGTACGTCAAGGTCACGTAAAGGCCCGACTGCGCGATTTCGCGACCGGCGAAACTGTATTTTTCGCGACACCATTTCAGATATTACCCGGGTAACACCTTACTGGTGTCGTAACGGAGAACTCAAGAAGATACCTCAAGTATTGGCTTGAGGAGATAAAAAGAAAAGAAAGAGAGTGTCCGAAACCGGGTATATACGCGTATAGCCTCCTTCGCTCCTTTCTTTCGTTAAAAGCGAAGGTCGGCTCTTCTCGCTTTTTCCATTTGCTGGTACACACCTTTGCACTATGTATATATATACATATATATATATATATTTGTTTTAACGTAGCTTCACAAAACTCTTACTCGACAGTATGAAAATAGATCTCTAACTTTTTTTGGTAGCGTTGTCTGCTATTTCGTACCGAAGCGTCAGTGGCATTCATTCGTTCGCACCCGATGGTCACTTTGAAAATCAATTGCCCACCCAGTGAGCGCTATCCGAGGAATTTCACGACATTCACCGGGCTCAAGAACCATTCGAGATAACGACACTCACTTTTCTCACCGCGGCAAATTGCAAACTTGCATTTTCTGGCACGAGAATCGGTGAATCACTTCCGCGTGACGTTTTACGAATGAAGATTGTTTAAAGGAGATTTTCCTTCTAGAGACGCACCAAATGCAAGAAGATGCATTCCAAACGAGATAAGTAACAGATGTCGCTGCAGGAATACGGTTAATCGTAAATTCCTCTCGTTACTTATAAATGATTTTCTACTTTTACATTTATGTGTATTCATTCTTTTGGCAGTTTGTGTCGAATAAGTATTATATATTTTCTATTTATTATCAGAATATATTTTATTATTTTCAACATGCAACAAATATAAATAAATAAATGTCGAGAAAAGTCAAATGAATATGATTCTACTGCGCATGTTGTCTATGTTTTCTATTGGATAATTAATTTACCCATGTGCCAATGGCTTTATACGCCGTAAATTTGTATAGTATCTTTTCGAATTAAACGTATAAATATAAAAATGACAATTGCAATTGGATTTGAAGGTAGTGCAAATAAGTTAGGCATCGGAATTATTCGAGATCAAGATGTTTTATCAAATGTACGGCATACGTATATTACACCACCGGGTGAAGGTAAACTTAACCTTTTATGTGATTACTTTTGATGATATACAATGGCTCACGAAAGTATTTCAACATTTATCACAAAAAGTTTTTATGAATATGTTATGTGTATTATACGAAATTTTTTTAAATTTTGTTAACACTGCAGTGATACACGACTATCGCGATTATAGTAGCAAAATTAGAAATCTAAATGTACATAGAAGTTACAAGATATTTATTACAAACATACATTTAAGACGTAATATATAACACAAATAGTAGTCTTAAACATACAATTAAAGCTAAAGATGTTGTGACTCACTAATATATAAAATAATTGATTGCTCAAATACCTTGACCATTTTTACAAACAGTATGCTTCTAATAAATATCTTGTAACTTTTATATACATTTTTAGATCCGTCTTAAATACCAAGTATGATAATGTTAGTGTTAATAAAATTCCAAAATGTTTTGTATAATATAAGCATAGAAAGTTTCTAAGTGTGTTTAAATACTTACATAATGCATTGTACATAATTCAACAACATACAAAAATGAGTGACATTTATTATTTGTTATTATTTAAAATGTTATATATAAAACGTTTTAAAGTTTGTTTTGAAAAGGATTCCTACCTCGTGAAACTGCGCAACATCATAGAGAACATATCCTCAATGTTTTGCAAAAGGCATTGGATGAAGCTAAAATAACATTAAAAGATGTGGATGTAGTATGTTATACAAAAGGACCAGGAATGGGTGCACCGTTAACAGTTGGTGCATTAGTAGCTAGAACTGTTGCTCAGATATATGATAAACCAATGGTTGCAGTAAATCATTGTATTGGTCATATAGAAATGGGGCGATTGATCACAGGAAGTATAAATCCAACTGTTTTATATGTTTCTGGTGGAAATACACAGATTATTGCATACTCTCGACAGAGATATCGTATTTTTGGTGAAACAATAGATATTGCTGTTGGAAACTGTTTAGATCGTTTCGCAAGATTATTAAAGCTCTCAAATGATCCTAGTCCTGGTTATAATATAGAACAGTTAGCAAAGAAGTAAGTTGTTTTATTAAAGTATGGTTTATTTGTTTATGTATATTAATTTCATTAATTTCATTTATTACACATAATATAATATTATATACATAGAGGGACAAAATTAGCTCCATTACCTTATGTAGTAAAAGGGATGGACGTGTCTTTCTCAGGAATTTTAAGTTACATTGAAGAACATCTTCCCAGTTGGCTTGACTCGAAAGAATTTACTCCAGAAGATTTATGTTTTTCTTTACAAGAAACAGTATTTGCTATGCTTATTGAAATTACTGGTATTGTTATTGCTTGCGATACAAGTACAAAATTGTATAAAATGGAACAGAAATTATATTTTTAATAATATTATAGAGAGAGCAATGGCCCATGTAAAATCATTAGAAGTATTGATTGTTGGTGGTGTAGGATGTAATGAAAGGTTGCAAGAGATGATGAAAGTGATGTGTGAGGAAAGAAATGCAGTACTTCATGCCACAGATGAACGCTTTTGTATAGATAATGGTGTAATGATCGCTGTGGCTGGATTACTTCAATACAAAAGCCAAGGGCATACTCCATGGATGAAAACAACTTGTGTACAACGATATAGAACAGATGATGTACATGTTTCCTGGAGAGAATAACTTAATTTTATATATACTTTCTTTCTTTGGCTTTGTTTAGCTATTATCTGAAATATTTACTATTATTGTTGTTATAAAATAGGAACAAAAGAAATATATTGTATACAGTAATAATTCAACATTTTTATTATCATTTTGTATCATACATATGTCAATCAACGTTAGAATAAATGTTATGATATAGACGTAGACCTAGAACGTAGATGAGTCTGGTTACCTTTTATTATTAGATATATTTAATTTTGAAATTGCTCTGTCTACTGCTTCTTTATCACAGAACTTCTATTAATATTATAATAATATTAGGTATTATTAAAAGGTATAAACCTTCACGTTATTTTAATCAGCTATCTAATTCAATAAATCGATCAACCTTATTAACAACATTTGTTATTTATCGATTCAAATGTACCGCGTATTTGTTCTTAGCTTGATAAATATCTTGCGCGCGCATATATCTGCGCATGCACAAACATTATACAGGTTCAAAATTGATATCGAGCTATCGTTGTGAAAAGAGAAAAGCGAGCGTCATAGGTGGAGGTCAAATTTTCATGACACGCGCGATAGACAGGGTAGCGTACGATATTCGTCGACGCAGGCGCGCGTCTGGCTGTAGTCCAAACAATATCTCCGTCGGTAGTAGTAGCAGTTATAATATTAGTAGAATTCGTATCGTCATCATTACCGGATATACGATCCAACGCTGTTAGTAGTTATGAACGTTAAGTTTCGTTTTGCTTAATCTCCATTTCTATGAAAGTTATTTTGCCAATTTTCTTTCGATATTTTTATTATTTAATAGAAAGATCCTACAATAAAGTTTTTATTCTAGAATCGTTTTTTATGAATATGAAACGGATAGAAACGCAAAATTTCTTTTTTTTTTCATTGTATCTGAGCGCGGCTATGTCACGTTAACCATTTCCTAATCGATAGACGCGCGAACATCGATTGCAGCGCTTAGTGTGGAACAAGTGGCAGTACGATACCGTCGTCACTGCTCGTCACTGTTCGTCACTACTCGTCACGGTGCATTATTAGTCGTGCTACTCACGGCAAGATGTGTTACTATACCACGGTGCGCAATGTGTCTTTCCGGACGAATGGTGCCCGTGTTTAAAACAGAGGTGAGTCGCAAAAATTATTGTACTTCTGGTTTCGTTTCTACTACCACTCCACGTCTATTTCCGTATAGGAGCTACTTCGTTATAGAATCGTACCGGTACACGTCAAATACTGTCCCCGAAATACAGACCCAGATAACTTGAATTTCTCAGCTGCTCGTCCTTGAATCTCACGAAAATCATTTGCTTCCACACTGTTTTATTATTGCTCCATTGATCTCGATTGTGTCGTATCATATCATCACAGATACACAACGTATATCGTTACTATCCGTGCAATTTGACAGTGATTTCGAATCAGATTTTTGTGTCATTAAATTCAGTTGAAAAATTGTCACATAGAACTCGCTAGCAGAATAACGTAGAATAAAAGTCTGGATGCGAAAAATATTATATGTAATAGCATGGAAGCAAGCCATTATTACAAAAACCAGAAAAGAAACAGAAGACAGAAACCAGTAAGAAATATCTTGTCGCAGAACGTATAGAAAACAAAAGAAGTATTGACTGTAATATACATCCTTTATATTATATGCTTCAAACAATTCCATTTCAATGATCAAAAAAAAAAAAAAAAATGATATAAAACAAGCATGACTACTGCATAATCATAGTTGCAGTCATATTTTTGCAACAATTTTGCATATCATATCCGGCACACAATTTGGTTATATTTTATACCAGATTTATATAATTTTTGATTTTCACATTGATACGAATACTACAATTATGACAGTTGACGGTACGTAGCAAGTAATTACTTTTCTTTGACCTATATAATGGAATAAAGAAACTGTGCGACATTTTCAATGTGCTTGCAATGTATCGATAGGTGTAGGTTGTAAATAGTCGTTCTTTACTACTGTCCGGTAACGCTTACCATTCATCTTCACTACTGTTATCCGCGATAACCTGAACACACGATACTTTATCAAGATTTTTTTGAAATTACTCGCGACTACATTTCGTGCATAAGATTGCCTTTGTGTGTCTTTTTTTTTATTGCGCTATGAATTTGAATCGCTGGCGACGTTATTAAAAGCAAAGAATTCGAAATTGGCGTATCTTACGACACTTCGCGAATATTTTTGCTAGCCATACAACATCATATTGACGCGTAGCCAAGATCCAGGTCGTGCATCCAAACAATACGCGGACATGTATTTAAATAATACGGCCCCGAATTATGTATTCGGTTGCTGGCTGTGATCAACGTCTTACATAAATATTTTTCGAAGGAAAATCAGGGTTATTTACAACAGAAATAAGAGGGGGAAAATGAAAGAAGAAATGAACGTGCACGTCGACGTTACATCGATGGCTTGCTGCACGAGTACTTTATCTCCATTTTTGAAACTTGAGTTTTTACATGTAACAAATAATTCTTGATTGTTTCTTTGTGCTGTATAAAAATCACATTTATATCTATTTCATAGATTTATTAAAAATAATATTTTTGTTTAATATATTTAATGTATATAGGGATATTTTCAAGAACCATGATCCATCTGTATCAATTTGCAACTAATTTTATAACAGCATTGATTAACATAAGTACAATGCAAAAAGTATCTATTTAATTATAAAGTAGCATTGGGTTTTCAAAACTGGTTCTCTCGTAAACGTTAAAACAGGACATAGAATATTTCTGCAGTATGCTACGGATACGTATGTGTATAGGAGCCAAATAACGGCGAGAAATAATAATTTAATCGATAAGAGGAACATTGAGCATAACGAGCTCTCGAAGTAAACCAGGGATGTAAGAGGGAGACTGGGTCTGGAATTATGCCACGAATAAATGCCGTGACGTGACATTTAAAGTTGTTCTTTGTAGAGCATCACATGGATAAGGAATCGATTCGTTCGATTCCAGACGGAAATCCAATCTTCTGCCAATTTTTTTTAACGTTCTACGATGATACGGAATACATAGTTTCGTTGCGATAATAAACAACTGCGAAGAGCAAAATTTTGAAACGCTTCGTACTCTTCGAACAGAAGAGAAGTTATCCTGAAAATCGCTACATAACCTGTGACGCTGTAACCGTATTAAATTAGATGTTCTACGTATATCGATACTTAATTTGCATTAGAACAGAACGTCCTAGTCTAGGAGATTTAAAGACGTTCAGACGATCGTTCAGAGATCGGAGTATTTCGTTTCGCGCAGTTGTTTCCGCCCACATGGATCGATCTGCGTAAAGTAGATACTGGAGTGTACTCCGAAAAAGCTTTTAGAGTATAGCCAACAAACAATTGCCATGGAATTGTAACAGCATGTTGTTTACCCGTGCGTTTAGTTTTTCAAAAGATCCTATTATACGCTGCTGTTCATACAGTGATCCATAAAAGTATGTAAACACTTGTCGCAGAAATTTTTTACGATCGTCTTACCTGTGTTATAGAGAACTTTTTGGTATGTTTCATTGACGCTATACTGAGATACAACTATTGCGATTATGTCGGCAAAATCTGAAACCAACTTGAGAATGTTACATACGAGGATCGCAGGACAAAACATTATAAATTCTTGTTGAGATTTTTGATTTTAATTGTCGCCACGACCAAAGAAAAATATTTTAGTAGAAGATAATTAAGAATGGAAAGAATCTGTTAGGTTCAAAGATACGGTTGATGAGGTTTTCGAAAAGGCAGAGGTATAAACTGTTAACGCAAACAATATTTTGATATTTTATTTCAGTATCTCCATTATTTTAATATTATGGCAAACGATACTTTTAAAGGGTGCGAAATAGATGTTTAGCCGCAGAGTCAAATAACAGTAACATGTCGTGTTAACAATGTACCGAATTTTAAAAGTGCCTTCCTGCAAAGATTGGAAAATGTGAGTAATAATCATGCGCTTTCTTTGTATTCCTTCTATGAAGAACATAATTGTGTTTTTTTTCATTGCCCTGTTCGAAAATTATGTGACTTATTAAGAACTGGTAAAATCTTCGCATGAGATCTTGTTATTGAGATAATAAAAAAAGATCAGAAAATATTAATTAGTATTTTAAATTAAATTAATACTTTTGAGCAAAATACTAACAATTCTTGAATTATATACTTTTCAAGAAGTTACAACAGATTTGAATTAAAAAGTGTCAAGTCTTTTCATATTATTTATATTTATAAAAATAAAATATTTTTATTTGGTAGATAGTCTAAGATTTTTCCACAATAGATACATATTCTATGTGCTTTAGAATTTTGGAACTGTCTTTCTTTTTTTCTATCTCATTATTTTGATACTTCAAAACCAACTGAACATTTTGTATGCATCTCAACTTTAAAGCAATGTAATCATTAGTATATCTGAATAATGTGGATTTTAAAGAAACAAAATCATCAGCGTTAGGTTGATCTTAATTCTAGATTGTTAACATTGGGTTACCAACGATTTATCATTAGACTGCGGATGTTTACGCAAATTTATATTTTTATAAATACAATTAAAGAAACAGAACCTAAGCAAGAATTTGTTTCATCCATTAAATCATGTATCAAGTATTGTACTTTGAGTATGTTATACATTTTTACATATCTGGCGCGTTTTGTAGATTCTTGCGCCTTTAAATTTCCCATAAATGCACAAACATCCGCGGTCTAGTAATTACTTTTGACACTAAAATTTTACATGCGATCATTTTGAATATTCACTATTTATCGTTCCATTATTCCGATACTAGGTACTGATTGATGTATAATGTCTTTCGTATTTTTGTTGAAACATCGTGCTCAGTAAAATTTCGTAAATTGTATTTACCATGGCTCACGAAACTATTCGAACACCCCTTAGAAACTTTTCATACGTATATACCTTTATACAAATTTTTTATGCTTTTTACACATATATCGTAGAAAATATTTTGAGATCGCGTTAGTACTCTAACAAAACATGACTGTTATGATTATATTGTTAAAATTTGTGATGGATCTGAAAATGTATATGTACAAGCTGCAATATATTTATTGGAAACATACACTTCGCAAACATCACCAAGAGTCAAACATTCAAACAGACAATTGTTCACTATATTAATAGGTCAGAATATATAATGAGACCGTCTTTAGCATTAATTGTATGTTTAAAATTATTCACATTGTATGCTAATTTTTCACAACGTATATGTTTGCAATAAATGTCGTGTAACTTCTATATAGATTTTTGGATTGCTTCCAAATTTTACTATTATAATCGCAATAGTTGCGTCTCATTATAGTGCTAACTGAAAGGTCAACAAGTTCCGTATAGCGCACATAATACATTCATAAAAATGTTCTATGCTAAATGTTCGAGTACTTTCGTGAGTCATTGTATATTTTTAAAAACTTAGAGGTGCGAATGTATATAAAGTCTAATTCGCGTACAATGTGATAAAACTAAGCTAGATTTCAAATTCGTAATTATTTAAAATTATTACTTCTTTGTAATTTGATATTGGTTTACTACTCAGGATACACGCAACTGGCTAAGCTATAATCCTGAAACGATAGAACGTAGAAAAGAATTTCATTAGGTAGAATCAGACTGTTCCGAATGATGTATGGCTTTAATGTATATAGAATTTTGAACAATTCATTACTTATACCTCTGTAATACGTACGCCCAATGCATTAATTTTCTATTTGAAAATAACATGATCCCGTGATGCGATACGTTAAAAAAATGTGACAAATTTTCTGCTGCTACATCATATTTTAATATTATTAGTATAATATTAAGAGCATAACAAACTCTTTTCTGAAAAAGATAATTTCCATAGATTTAATCAGACATTTCGACTGTTAAAATTCTTAAAATGAACTAATCGTTTCCAGAAGATTATGAAACTGAACTTATGATTTGACCTGACTTGCAAATATTATGGCAGTTGACGCAATTATAAACAATTAATCAAAAAGAAGAAAGAAAGCATCGAATATAATTCATCCGAAACGATATTTCACGATCATATTCATCTAAAGTATGAAAAGAAAACATAAAAAAAATCATA